TTTTTTTCTTTTTTTTGTTTCTTTATTTATCTTTCTGGAAAAAAAAAATACAACTTATTTCATTGTTTATTTCCGTTGTTTTTCTCTTTTCTTAGATTATTGGTGAGAAGGAAAAAAAAAACAAAAGAAAATCAAGTTGATAGGTTTTTGATTATATGTCAATGTTAAGAAAATCCTGTTCTTTTCTTCTTCTTCTTGTTGTTGTTGTTCTTGTTGTTGTTGTGGTGTATTGACTTCCTTTGCACAGACCATATTGTACAGTTCTTTTCAAAACAAAAAAACAAAAAAATAAAACTTATAACCCATTTTTTTTTTCGGTTAAAAAAATATATATACACACATAGATTTGATTGATTGTTCTTTGTTTATAGAGAAAGAATTTTAATATATATATGGCATCGACTTTGATATCATCAAAATCAAATTCAAAAAAATCATCCACTAATAATACAGCAACAAGTGATAATTCAAATGAAACGCCTATTACAGAAGAAGAATTAAAAAAGAAAGAAACACCAATAACAATTAATGATGTTCTTCGATTAAGAAAAGCTACTAATGGTAAAATAATATGAATAGAAGAAAATATTAAAAGAAATTTCTTTTTTTTTAAATGTATTATAGGTTATTTAACTGACACAGATGACAATGTATATAAAATTGATTTTGTCCATTTTCGAATTCGTGATATGAAAACAAATAAAATTCTTTTTGAAGTTGAACGAGGATCTGGTATGATGTTTTGTTGTTTTCTTTTATTTTTGTAATATTTTTTTGTTTTTTTAATTATGTTTTAATTTGAATAAATAGATGACAATGAATTAAATGAAGAAGTTGATCCATCGGCAGGTCGTTTTGTTCAATATCATTTTCCATCATCATTTTTTAAACTGAAACAAATCGGTGCTTTGTAAGTATGATTATTAAGAATTATATCGATTAAATTTTTTTGTAAATGAGAAATTCTAATATTTATTATAGAGTAAAATTTATATCCAAAAAAAAAATATTAGCTTTGAATTTAGTTTTTGTTGATCTGCAACGAATTAGTTATACAAGGGTATGAGTAGATCTCGGTGAGATTATGACAAGTTTAAAATAATTCAAATTCAGGACTTACTGATTGACCATTATAATGAAATTTTTACTGAGAGTAAAGCATTTCCGAAAAAATCTAAAATAGAAAGTTTCAAGCAAGATATTCAATTTTCAAATACACTCGATGGCTGTGTCTTCCTATGATAAATCACTGTCTTTTTTGAAAATCGAATATCTCGAGAAAGATATGTTCATTTTCGGTGAAATTTTGAGGACTATCAAATCTGCCTATAGACAATATTTTAGATCAAAACTCTTTGTTTAGGATTTTTCGAAAATACCTTGCTCTCAGTAAAAATTCTATTAAAACGGTCAATAAGTAAGTCATAGGCTCAAATATCTTTAAGCTTGTTTTAGTCTCACAAGTAGAACCAATCGAGAGGAGTCCGGGTCTGAAAATTTTACACCCAATGAGTTCTAATTATCTGAGAAATGTTTAGAAATGCGCTAGTTACCAAACATAAAAACCGGAAAATGTATCTCGTATCTCCAAGGCAACTATTCAATTCGGATTAGCAAAATTTCATTAAAACCAATTCGTAGTCATAAGATAAAATCAAACAGCGTCCAACACTTGCATACAATTGAATTCAGCATGTTCAGATCATTATAGGAAGTAATCCGACATAGACAATAAGTACATTTTTCATTTGCTTATGTACATGAAACTAACGACATACAAAGTCCTATTGAGAACTGAAAAGAATATGACCGTATTTTTTTTTTTGATTATCTATGATTTATTTGATTTTGTTTAGAGTTGATTTTACTGTGGGTGATCGAGAAGTAAAATCATTTCGAATGATTGAACGCCATTATTTTCGTGATCAATTAATTAAATCATTTGATTTTGATTTTGGTTTTTGTCCACCAAATACTCGAAATTCCATTGAACATATTTATGATATGCCTGAATTTGATTCCAAACAAAGTAATTTTTATATTTCTATATTTTTGTTTTTTTTGTTGTTTTTATTTTTTTTCCTTAGCTAAAGAAATGATTGAATTTCCAAATGAAACTAAATCAGATAGTTTTTATTTTGTCGATAATCAATTAATCATGCATAAAAAAGCAACATATGCATTTGATCTTGATCGTTCGCATTAAAATCAAACATTCTTCATCTTTTTTTTTTTTTCTTATCCAATAGACATTACTGCTTCATATATTTGCTTCATATATTTATGTTTTAAATATTTATTTATTTATTTATTTTTTTGTATAATCATTAATTATTTCATTACGCTTCAATTTCACGTATTTTATTCTTTTTTTTTTTTTTTTTTTGATAATGATGATAAGGAGATGAACGATCAATACGATTGTTTAAATAAAGCTCAATTGAGCTTTGAATATTTGCATACAAATTCAACTACACATACATTTCTTTTTGGTGCATTAGCTGAACTAGTTGATAATTCAAAAGATGCCGGTGCAAAAAATCTTAATATTTATACATGCAAAGATCCATGTTTACGTGGAGGTTTTTATTTAGCATTTTTAGATGATGGTTGTGGAATGAATTATGGTAAGTTTTGTCAAAATTGAAAATCAATTATCAATAATATGGAAATGAAATGATATATGTGTTATAATTTGCGCTAAAAAACTATTGAAATTATTAAAGGAATAATTCCAAATGGATATCATCAAGTGTTTAAGATTTATGAAGAATAGAAGAGAAGATTTTCAAAGAGAAAATTATTTAAAAATTTCATACGATATAAAGAAAAAAAAATAACTATGAGAAAATAGTATTTAAATGTTGATTATGGTTTGCAATCATATTGATTGAATCAAATTATGGTTTGATACAAATTGTAATATTAGTCTTTTGAGTATATATATATGAGTTTATCTTCTAGCAATGAAATATTTTCTATTCATTATCTCAAACACGGTTTTTTTTTTATGAAAGTCAAATTTAATCTAAACTTCGATTTATTGAATAGATAAAATTTAGAAAAGACAATCAATTGAAATATTTTTTCATATTATTGTACATGAACTTTCAATATGAAAGAAAAATATGATAATATTGGAAACATAGCAAATCACAAATTAAATCATACAGTATAATGTGGCATCCTAATAAGTACTTACTTACACTTCTACTTGTATATATAAATATCGTTTGTAATTGTATGGCATCATATAAAAGTTTTGAAAACCTACAATTAACATGAAATGATACTTATCAAAACGGTCCATCTAAAAGTAATAAGTTCATTTGGTTTGATTAACTATGTCATGAGTTGCTTTCTCGAATGAATCATTCCTTTAATATTCTTGTATGAGATTGAAATCTTAAATTTTCATAATTCAAAAAATTTTCTCATGCATAATATTTTCGATATATATTATGCAAAATATTATTAATACTTCTTCTTTTTTTTTTTTTATTTTCTTAGATGATGTATTCAATGTAATTGTTTTTGGTAAATCAGCAAAACGTCATAATCTTGATTCTAATCAAATTGGTCAATATGGTAATGGTTTAAAATCTGGTGCTATGCGTATATCTAATGATTTAATATTATTTACAAAAAAAGATAATATTGGTACATGTTTATTTCTTTCACGTACATTTCATCAAGAAGAACATATATCTCAAATAATATGTCCAATGCCTTGTTTTAATTTAATTAATCAACAACCAATTGAAAATATTGATCAACAACAATCAAATGGTAGATATACATATATATATGATAAAAATAAATATGAACTTGAAATATATTTAATTACAAAATATTCACCATTTAAAACAATGAATGATTTATTTAAACAATTTAATTTAATTAAATCTTCTAGTGGAACATTAATTATTTTATTTAATTTAAAATTATCTGATAATGGTGAATCAGAATTTAATATAAAAATAGATCCATATGATATATTAATTGATTCAAAAAATCGAAGAAATTTATTAGATAATGATGATGATGATAATAATAATAATAATAGGTAAATATTTGATTTTAATTCTTTTAGAAAAAAAAAAAAGAGAATTTTCCTTCTTTTATTTTAGTATTCCTTTAGAATATCGTTCATTTCGTTCATATATTTCAATTCTTTATTATGAACCACGTATGCGTATAACAATACAAGGACAACGTGTTATAACAAAGAAATTATCATATACACTATATAAACCTCGACAATATCAATTTAAATCTACACGTTTTAAAACATATAGTGAACAAGAAATAAAAAAATATGAACAAGAACTTTTATTATTAGAAGAACGTATACGTGAAGTTGATTCACAAGTTTATCATATACAACAACATATTGAAATAACAATATCAATTAATGAACGAATACATTTAAGAAAATTACAAATTCATGCAACTGAATTAAAAGATATTGCTAATCGATTACGTAATAATCTTATAAAAAAACGTATGGAAATGAATACAATAAAAACATTAACATTTATTTTTGGATTAAATATACAAAATCGAATAGCAGATGGTATTTTTATTTATAATTGTGGACGACTTATTAAAATGTATGAAAAATTTGGACAATCAAATAAAAAAACCTTGTAAGTATTATATTTTTTGTTAAAGATAACTAGAATATTTTCAATATAATTCAAAAAAAAAATATATATATATATTTTTTTTTTTTTATTAAATAGATATTGTCGTGGTGTTATTGGTATTGTTGATATTCCTTCAATAATACTTGAACCTACACATAATAAACAATCATTTGCTGATGAAAAAGAATATCATTTTTTACTTAAAAATATGGGGGTATATATGCGACAATATTGGACTGATACAGGAATTGAACATTATGTTAAAGAATTTTGGGAAACCTATGGTAAGATAATTTGTTTATTTAATTGACATTCCTCGTTTGAGTTGATATAGGATCCATAGGCAAGTCTCAGTGAGACTAACAAAAGTCCAAAAGGGTTCATTCTCATGGGTCTTTGTCGCGAAGTTATGATCGTTGTATTGAATTTTCGATTCATTTATAGGTCGTTTCCAAAAATTAAAATGATTGAGTTTTGATTTAAAATTTTGCGTATAGATAGATCTAATGACTCTAAGAATATTATGAAAGTTTCAATCAAAAAGAATGTTTCTTCGTCAAAATATTGAATTTTCAAAAATAGATCTGTGCCATAGACATGTCATAAAAATCGAGTTCACTTGAAAATTCAATAACTCGACGGAGGAACATTCTTTTCGGTTGAAAATTTCAAGATATTCAAAAAATCGTTAGAACTATAGATAGACAAAATTTTAGATCAAAAGTCCAATAAATCAGTCGGACAAACTCTTTTAGACTTTTGCTATTCTCACTGAGACTTGCCTATGAATCCAATATGAGCTCAAACAGCAAGTGTCACTTGAAGTAGTTCTCTCGTAAGCTCATTTGATAGAGAACTTTTCACTTGACAAAACTGTCGACTTGATTTTTCAAAGAAATTTTTCTTATCGGCGAAAAATAGGCAAGACTGAAAGCTACTAAACTATCCCATTGGGTATAATAATGAACCTTTCGTAGCGCACGTCTAACTTTTGAAAATACGAATTTCAAGAGTTTATATAAAAGAAATACCGGCAGATGCTTAGTAACATGGTTTTCGCTTTTGAATGGCGACATCCGAAGTCTTGAATAGATTTTAGAAGCATAAAGCATGGAAATTTTCTATCTAGTAATGTTAAACATTTTACATTTAGGATGTGGGATTTGATGAGCACAGATTGTCGATTTTTCTTATTTTTCATTGATAAGAAAAACTTCTTTAAAAAAATTAAATCGATAATTTTGTCGAGTGAAGAATTTTCTATTGAACAAACTTAGAATAGATTCTTTGAACTTTATTTTAAATCTTTAATAAAAAGAAAATAAAAATATTCGATTATTTATAGTTCATTCTGTTATTCACTGTATTTTTTATTTTATATTAAAGGTTATCGAGATGATCAACTTGATCGACCACCATCAAATGATCCTGAAGCAGTCAAACATCGTCAAGTATCTATTCCTATGCTTATTCAATGTGATAAATGTTTAAAATGGCGTCGTCTACCATATAATAGTAATACTAAATCTTTAACACAAATTCAACTTGAATCATGGCAATGTTCCGATAATACTGATGTTCTTAATAATACGTATGTATCTTGTCGATATAATCGAATTTAATTATAACTTTACAAAAAAAAAAAAATCTATATTTTTCAGATGTTCAGCAAATGAAAAACTTGATATAATACCTGAAGGAGAATTGAAACAAAAATCACAAGTAATCAGTGGTAAAAATCGTACATCATCACAAGAAATTTTACCATCAACTCGATCTTTAGAAAATAATAAACGTATATCAAATGCTGAAATTTCATCAACTACAATAAATACTGTAAATACATATCGTATATATATATATTTAGTGTATTTTTCTGTATATTCAAAATAAATTTTAGAATTCAAAAGTATCTATTCATTCAAGTATTATTCCATCATCATCTGATATTTCTCAAAAACGTTCTCAACCTTCATCTCGTTCATTATCAATAAAAACAACAAAATCTAAAAAGAAACCAAAACGATTTAATTCCAAACAATCAATTAAATCAAAATCTAAATTTCATTATGTCAGTAGTAGTGATGATGAAGATGAAGAAGAATCATCTGTATCAATTACTCAACAAACACGTAATCAAACATCTGTTCGAGTAAGAAAAATCAGCTAAACAAATAAAACAAAAAAACACAATCTTTTACTCACTGGAAATGTCTATTCTATCTATGATCGAATTTCGAGATGAAATATTAATCATACATAGACTTTATAGTCACTAGAAATATTTACTGACTATGAGGCCTATCTACGGTTGAAAATTTAGTTCAAAATTCGATCATCCAAGTTCTTAGCGATCCTATTTTCGTCGAGAGCAAAAATCGAGTAAAACATTCATAACTCGATAGGTGAAGATTGGAAAATCAGACTTTGTCACAACTCATCATGACTAATCGAATGGCAATACTCTCAAGTGAAAAGTACTTTGACAATTGAGGTCGTGATCCCGTTGAATCGAAATAAGAATAATTAGAGAGTTTGTTTTTCAAAGAATTTTTCATATCTAATATTAATCCAAATTAGAACTGATGATAGAAGATAACCAAATGAATTATTATTCCATGTCAGTATTAATCAAATAATGATATTTTAAGATTTTATACTGAGACAACATCAATAAGTTATCTAAAACACGAGATTAGACACATCTTTTCTATTATTCTTACAAAAATCAAAAATACTTTTCTCATTTACTTTTAAATTATCTTCATCATCTCGGATATTTCAATTTGACAACATTTTTCTCTTTCCAAAAGAAAAGTTTTACCCATTCAAATCTTTCATAGATATTCTTTTTCAATTGCTTAAAAATATTATTCTAGTCTTCTTCACATTCAAATATTCAACAGACTTCACTAACAGATTCTGTAACATCAACAAATTATGTTTATTTAATTGATGATGATAATACTGATATAAAATCAAATGTTTATCTTACACCACCAACTATTGGTGCACGTGTATCGGCAATGTATCAAGGTGCTCGACGTTCTGGCAAAGTTTTAAGTGTAAATGATAAACGTGGCATTTTTAAAATGCGTTTTGATGAATTTCCAACAGCTGAATTCGATTATTCATTCAGTTATAAATCATCAGCATGGTCTTATATTGATACATCATCATCATCAACAGATCCTACAATAACATCAATTGAAACAATTGTAAGCGAACCAGAACCATTATTTACTATTACAAAAAAATTTCAAGCATTAATTAAAGTAAAATTTTCTATTATAATAAACAAATTTTATTATTAAAAATTTTCCTTGTATTTTTTTTTCTTTTTGTTTAGTTTATGTTACCACCTGATTGGAAATTAACAGATGAACAAATTTCATTGATGAGTTATGATGATCTTAGTCAATTTGATATTGTAACTTTTATGCAATCTTATCGAGAAAAAATGACAAAAGTAAATCTAAAAAAAAAATTTTATATTTTATGACTCAGAACTAACTTGATGAGTTCTGCTTCTCCTTCCCTACAGACCATGATAGACGTTATTGACCTACGATCAAAGACTATGAATCAGACATGTCTCAAAATAGATAGAATAACTTTTCTTGTCTCAATCAATTTGTTCATTTAGATTGTTGAACAACATAAAACTGATGAAGCACATTGGCGAACATCAGTTCAACATTTACAAATAGAAGTAACTAAATTACTTAATCTTTCTGGAATGGTTCGTTGATGAAATTTTTATTGTTTTCTAATATTTAATTTTCTTTTTGTTCTTTTTTTTTTTTTTAAAGTCAATTCCAATTGATTGCTCAATGGAAGATTTTGAAGAATATATTCAACATTATATAACACAAGCTGGAAAATCATCTTGATCTCAGATATATATATATATATGCATTTTATTTTTTTAAAAATATTATTCTATATGTTTTGTATATAAATTTTGTTTTAATCTTGAAGATACAACGAAAAAAACACAAAGATATTTTTTTTTCGCTCTCCTTTTTTTGTTGTTTATGAATTTATGTTTTTTCAATAGTTTTTAGTGATTATAATAGTAAATATGATTAAACATGAAAAAAAAAAAGGTAATTAGCCATAACTTTAGCTTATATTATCTTTAAATTTGTTATATGTGAATATCATTGTTACTGTTGTTTTTCCTTTTCTTTATGTTATTTTTCATATTTGTTGAACAGATTTTTATATAAAAAAGTAAAAATTATATGAAATTAAAAAAAAAGATTGATTTTCGAATTGTTGATATAAGACAAAAAAAAAATCTTACAATATGTTTTTAAGAGTCATTGCACAAGGAATGTCCTTCAACTGTTCAATCGTTTTTGAGTTGAAACTATGTGCATTATGTAGATTCAAATGAATTATGAGTATCCTGAAAAGAGCTCGTTTCCTTAACGTATTGCTGCGCATGTACTACATTCTTACGATATTTATTAATGAATGTTAGGGTTAGTCTTTGAAACATCAGGAAAACTTATTTTCAAATTTCGATTTGAAGTTTTACATAGAGATAGGTCTTGATGAGATTAATTTTATTGTGAAAGTTTCAGATCTTTATGTTGTTTCTCTTCTAAGATATAGTTATGAGAAAAACTTGTCTTTTACATTCTTCAGATAAACCGATGAATTTGATGTTCTTATTTCAGGATAGAAGCAAAACGAAAAAATGTGAACTAGTGTTTCTCAGGAAGACCATACCACTCACTAAAAAAATATCATAAAAATGTGATATTTCTGCGATAATAAACCTAGACCTCAAATCTTTTCACGATATTCTCATAGCTCATTTAAGGCTACATAATGCAGATAATCTCGGCTCAAAAGCATTTTATTAATTGGAAAGCTTCCCTTGTAAGCTCTATCTATTACAAAAATAATATTGCAAATGGAATAAGTTCTTTTTGGACTACCGTACATTTGTTAGAGATCTATTTTGTCTTGAAAACTTAACTTCATAGTCTAGGTACTCTATCGACCTTTTATCAACTATGAGAATTTTGTTGATCTATAGATGTTGAATTAATGGAGATAGTGCATTGACGAATGTAAACTAGGTGTTTTTTGAGTTCTATTTCAAATGAAATATTTGAAGAAAACTTTTAGTGAATAACATAATTGAACAAACCACAAAAACATACTTTCAACAACAGCAACAAAAAAGTCGAACTCATATACAAGTTTTAAAACTATTCGCAACATGTTTGTTTGTTGTTGTTTACATCTCTAATATGATAGTTATGACCTTCTATTTCAATCAATTTATTGTTATAAATAACAGAATATGAATAGTTAACGTACATCTCTAATGATGTGAATAATAACAGACAGTTCGAATATCAAATTTCAAAAGCATCTATAAAAAAAGAAAGAAAGAAAGAAAGGAATCCACCATTATTATTCTCTTACATTTTACTATTTACACATGATCATGGTTTCAAATCAAAAACTTGCTAATGATTTAGTTATTTCCATCTCAACTATATTTATTTTAAGTACAACTATTTTATCTATCTCAACAAATAATTGGAATGTAGAATATGAAAATTCAATTATCAATCGAACAGGTTTATTTCAACAATGTTCAAATTCATTTTGTTGTGATACAAAAGAATTAGATCGATCAATAACATTATTAGTTTTATTTAGTATTATTTTTCTAACAATAAGTACACTTTCATCATGTTTTTTAATGGCAATAATAATTGATTATAAAAATCAATGTTATATACTTGTACCATTGACATTATTTAGTGCAGGTATATTAATGACATTAACATTAATTCAAATACTTGATCAAATTTATCTTAATGGTTATTCAGCATTTATATTTTTTATTGATACTATTCTTGCTTATATATTAGGCGCAATTTCACTTTTACATGCTAATATGTTCTATTTTTAATAATTTGTATTTCAAAAGAAATATATCTAATTTTTAAATAAAATCAAAAGTTATGTCTAAAGTATTGAATATTTATGATTAGAAGTTTGTTATAATAGGGTTTATATTCTCGGTGAATTCTTCTTCCAAAAATAAAAATATTTTATAAGATAATTCTTTTTATTTTAAAATCATTACAGTTAATTACAAGTAAAAGAAAAAAACGGTACTAGAACAATTCGTCGCGGACAGCTCATCGCAATGAAAGCGACAAAGAATATATACACAACTATAATTTTCTCTTTCATTGCAACGAACTGTCCGCGACTAAATGTTCTGCAACAAATTGTCCGGTCACCCAAGTTCTGAAATTGAACTTTGAGTTGGGAACTAATCAATCTTTACTTGTTTCATGCAATTAATCTTCTCGGTATTCAAATCATGTAATCATCCATTTAATCTCAAATATGTTTATATTCTTGGTTTCTCAATCTAAAACGAAAAGCATTAATTCATTAATCCGATTCTAGATAACAATACTACAAAGAAAGCATTATTTCATTTTTTTAAATTATTGAATTATTGTTAAATGTATTATTTTTAAAACAAATTACAAAGAAATTCATATAATACATTTCTTTCAATTGTCTATTCCTAAAAAGATCAAATTTAACAGAATCTATGTATTTGAAATTATGCTTCATACATTCTGTTTATTTATTTATTTATTTATTTATTTATTTATTTAATTTCATATTCATATTCATATTCATCCGGGACCAAATGAAACAGGCAAGCGTTCAACAACACGTAAACATTCATGTTGAAGACGATATAGATTATATTCATGTTGAAATTGTTTATTTTCCTGAATAGGTAATCTAAGTACGGTAGCCAATTCGAACCATATCATGAATTCACGTCGCTGTTGTAACCATGCCGAATAATCATCAATATAACAATATTTAGCTAATTGTTTGTATATAGATGATTTCAATTGCAATGGCAAAGAATTTTGACTTCGAAATCGACTTGAATTGATTGATGGTAGAATAATTATAATAAGAAGATAGGATAAAAGAAAAGTAGGACAATTGATATTTGAAAAAATCATGTTTTTTTTTTCTTGTTTGTAATGTCGACTTAAATAATTATATGATCTTGATTGAAAAAGAAAAATAAAGAACAAAAGAAAATAGAAAAAATAAGTTGAAATCAAATTAACATCATTAACAACACACATACACGGGATGTGATTGATACTGTAGGTTATAAAGAAACCATCTGTGCATATAGAAAATAATTACACTTTGGAAGAACATTCATATTGAACGCAAGATTGTATTTATGAATTTATTCAAAATATCGTTATTATATCTGTGACTTATTGATTAACGTTCCATCTACCCTCAAACAATCGATTTCGATCAAATATATTCAAATCGTCTGAAATTTTCAGGTCTATATCATCATGTTTGAAAGGAGATATTCATCAAACAAGGATCAAGAATATCTAATTAGTTAATCGAAATTCTTTGTAGACGTTCATTCTATATATCGTACTTTTTTTTGTGAGAAAGAGAATGTTAAGACGCAAGACTTGTTAGGGCTGATTCTTTTAAAATTCTTACTTTTTATGTGAAGAATATGGATGGTAAGTTTGATACTTCAAAGAATTCTATAAAAATAATGATCAATTTCTAGTAGTATTTGTATATTTTAAATGAATTACACTGAAAATAAAATTTTCCATTTAAAAGATGATAAGTAATACGTTTTACTGTGCTATATGAGATACAAAAAACGAATAAATTTTCCCGATGATCACTATTAATATGACAAAGATAGATAAGAATTGTTCGAAATCCATGAAAATACCTGAATTTGACTTTTCAGCATGTAAGTTGAATATCTACAGAAATACGAGGTTTGCAAAATTGGTTAAGAATACTTGAAATTATATGTAGGAAAGACCTACGTTTGTGTGTCACAATATATAACTAAGACTTGAAGTTAAATAAATGTCAACTACGTAAAACTAATAGTATATTTTACGTTATATATTACTAATGTAACGTCACTTACCAAAAATAGCTTCTATAAGACACGAACAGAAATCATGAGTAATACATTCACGTGGACCTTACCTGGGAAGTATCATGCATACTTCGAATTTGTGTGACATTTTCCTTATAGAAAAGCTCGCATTACACATTGACATTATTTTTTCTTTTTCTTATGAATCATGAGTTTTCTAGTGCTGATATATTTAATGCTAGGAGACCACGATAACCAGCTACGAATGATTAACACTTCATCTCAAACTGTCGTACTATTATAAAAGAATTATAGATCAAATAAAATGAAAAATCTCATGTGATATACAAATTTCTGATCGTTTTTAACAGAATTATTTCCCATTCACTGACTTTTATTTAATACTATATGCATCATATTTAATTAAATGATTTAATCTCAGAATTATTCTTTTAACTTCCCGTGACAGATAATTGAACAATGACTGTATAACTAATATTTAGAGAAACCAAAAAATATTAGGAAAATCGTGATGAAAAAAAACGTCAATCAGTCTCATATTAAAAAAATGCAGATTTTCTGTTCTAATTCTGCCAACTTTTGACATATAAATGAGAAGAAAATAAATCTTCTATATGACATGTTTAGTAAAAATCTATTTTTTAGATGTTATTCACTCAGATTCTTAGAATTTATTTGCGATAAATCTATGATTTTTTTATGTCATAGTGAGAACTTATTAATAGAATCTAATCTGAAAAAATCACAAAGATTAATTAAGAACAACTCAAGATATTGAACTTTTACATATTAGAATATAACGGTACCATTAGATTGTAATTCACACATATATAATAGAAGCAAAGCTTTATTAAGAAAAGGAACTCTAACAGATCTTGAATCTTGACATGCTCTTTCAAATAAAGATACACAGAAGAAAATTCTTCGAGGAATCCTGGATTGTGCGATCAGAAAAACGGAGACAGAGAAAAATCGAAAAAAATTTAACTGCTTTTTCCGAGAAAAACATATTTTTCAAGCAGAAGATCAAGGAAGTTCTTGAAAAATTTTAGAAAAAAAAAATCATTTTGTTTGTGAAAGATCTAGCTTTAATCTATCCTTCCATATATTTATCTTAATTTCGATTAATCTAACGGAAATGAATTTCGTTTTTCAGAAAAAGGACTTAAAATATACTTACATACTCTTCTTTTTTTTGACTTCATGACGATTACATAGAAAATCTGAAGTTTTCTTAAATTATCGATTATTATAGAAAAGACATTATGTTTATGTTATATAGTAGACAATATTTAATGATGAACGTTCGAATTAATTTTATATGAGATTTCTTTACCTTAAATTATATTAAATTTATTGTTCGAATATTTCTTATGAATAAATTCAAATATGTTTATACTATGAAAGAATTTCAATTAGACAGATGATTAAGCTTACTTCATTATTAATGAATAGTATTACTATATCCTTCATCATAGACTTTATCTTTAGCTCTGTTGACTAAATGTAGAAAATATTTGTGTTAGAACAATTGTCTCAAAATCGACTGTGCTGTTTTTGTCAATATTCAGACGCTATGGTCTATTTCTATTCGTATTAGTAATCTACTATTGAGAAACATCCATTTATAGAATATTATTGATCGATGTGTCAGTCAAATGTCTACTTGGCATTTTGTGAAACGTAATCTAAAATGAATGTTGAAATAAGTGGGTTAGAAATTTGCCTCCTCCACAGATGTTATAATAGAAATATCATGGGCAATGACAGAAACGTTAGAAACAGGTCATCACGGACATTCCCGACAACATCTTTCCTTCATCATAGACTGTATATCAATTACGTCTAATTATAATATATGAACTACTTTCTTATTGAATTTTTGGAGAATTAAGTAAATGAATGGTGAAGAAATATATCTCAAAATAGATAGAATAAAAGAATCTTTCAATGATTAACAATAGCAGTTACATCGTGTTTTACATTTTAATTCTGTAGAAATTGCGCTAATAGCTTTTTCAATCAATTTATTGTATCGAACTTAAAATGACTACATAAAAAGTTTATGATACAAAGAAAGAGAGAAAAGATATCATTAGTGAGGGTACTGAGTTCAGAATATTCTCCCTACCTTTGTAAATATCCTGCTACCAATATATTTCAGTTATCAGATATTTCTTTGATACCTAAGTGTTTGGCTTTAAAGCATTTCTGAATAGAGATCGGCAGTTTCAAAATATACCCGTAATCGATAGTTCAGTTCCGGTTAGTAAAAAAAAAAAGACGATTTCTAAAAAGTACTTTGAAACTAGTGATCTAATAATAGTATATCAGACCCAGAGGTTTCTCTGTTATATATCATTTTTCAAGATTATTAATGTCTATTACTTTTGAAAAAGTGATTTCTTTTTTACTTTATTTAACAGAAAATACTGGGATCTACTAACACTTTCTATAGTTTCCTTATTTTGTGAGCCTTAAGACATACATTTAGTTTATCTCTTACTGTAATAGAATATCACTGGAGATGCGTTACCGAACAACTGTTGTAAGAAAGATCGGATTTTTTCGACAGAACGATCTTTTTCTAGACGAAAAACCTCTCTCTCTTAATAAGAGTATGGCTCAAAGACATAATGATTATGAAAGTACACATTGGAGTACTTAACCATACCTTTCCTGAAGAAGTGATTTTTGACTTCTTTTTCCGTCCAATTATAAGAAATATGCATAGTTTACCGCTGGTACAACCGTAAATTGATCTCTCCAACTTTAGATTATTTAACACTTGAACAGCATTCTAGTTATCAGTAAAAAGTTTTCGATTCCCACGGTCCCGATTCCGTTTTTTTCG